GGTGGGTTATAGCACGACAAGGAGAACTTCGTTATAGAACTTGGTTCAGTGGCACACATATCAGATAGCCTGCATATCAGATATTCACAGTGCAATTTATAACAATAGTAAAAATTATTGCCATGAAGTAGTAACAAAAATGATATTATTGTTGAGGGGTCACCACAGCATGGGCGTACTGTTAAAGAGCAACAGCTCTTTAGTAAAAAAAAAAAACTAGGGTTTTGTTTATACATCATTAGGGGTCATGTGTGTGGGTGGCAAGAAATGCTTAGTTAAAGTATAGGGTAAAGACAGCCCAAGATAAACTAATTAGATCTAGAATCACAATAGATAGAATGCATTCTATCTAACCTCTCCACATCATTAAAGTTTTAATCAAACATCCTTTGCAGATGCAGCTTTTCTTTCTTGGATATATATATATATATTCTTATTTTACGTATCAATCCCAGTTCCCTCTACCTTCCATACCCACCGACTCCCCCTCCCACCCACCTCCACTCCACAGTGAGGGTGATGCCTTTGAGAAGGGATCATCAAAATCTGTCAAATCATTTGGAGTAGGTACTAGGCCCTCCCTCCTGCCTCTAGGTTAAGGGAGTATCCCTTCATGGGGGATGTGTCCACAAGGTCCTTTTGTGCACCAGGGATACATCCTGGTTCCACTGTCAGAGGTCCCTTAGACTCCCCAGGCCTTCTAGCTGAGACCCATGTTCAGGGGGTCTGAGTCAGTCCAATGCTGGTTTCCTAGCTATCAGTCTGGGGTCCATGAGCTCCCCCTTGTTCAGGTCAGCTGTCTCTGTGGGTTTCTGCAGCCTGGTCTCGACCCCTTATTACTCCTCCCTCTCTGCAACTGGATTCCAGAAGTTTGGCTCAGTGTTCAGCTGTGGGTATCTACTTATGTTTCCATCAGCTACTAGATGAGGGCTCTATGATGGCATATAAGTTAGTTATCAATCTCATTATATGGGAAGGGTATTTAAGGTAGCCTTTCCACTGTTGCTCAGATTGTTAGTTGGGGGTCATCCTTTTTGGTCTCTAGACATTTCTCTAGAGTTAGTTTTCTCTTCAAACCTTTAATGGCTCCCTCTATTATGTTTTTTTTCTCTTGTCTATTCATCCCCTGACTCAATCTTCCTAAACCCACATGTTCTCCTCTCCTCCCCCTCTCTTTCTCCTAGCTCCCTCTCTACTCACTGCCTCCACCCACTCCCAATATGTGTCAAGGGATCTTGTTCCTTTCTCCTTCTGTGAGGGACCTTGTATGAATCTCTTAGGTTCCTCCTTATATTCTAGTTTCTCTGGCGGTGTGAATTATAGGCTGGTAATCCTTTGCTCTATGTCTAAAATCCATAAATGAGAAATTCTTATTTACATTGGAAAGATTGGAATGCTGGCAATACATAACTGGAAAATACATATTTGATAGAACACTGGAAATGTTACTCTAAAAAGTCTACGGACACTTCAGATCATCTATTGAGTGAAGATTTGGAATGAGATCCTACCATGGCATGGTTCTGACCTTAATCTGCAGAGGCAACTATTAAACAACAGCTTTCTGTGATGTGTTGATAGACAGCTTAAGGGATTTTCAACCTTGCAATGATTGATATCCTTGGTCCTAATATTTTTTTAACGTGGTTTGATTGCATGCGTGTGCACCATGTACATACCTGGTACACTTGAAGGTCAGAAGAGTGTGTCAGATCACTGGGAACTGCAGTTTCTGATGGTTGTGATCCACCATGTGGATACTAGGAATTGAACTCTCATCCTCCATAAGAAAGTGAGTGAGCTATCTCTCTAACATGGGTCCTAATTCTTTTTGTACAGCTTTATTTTCAGTAGTATTTGTTAATCATATACAACAATAGGTTTCATGACATTTTCATACATGTCTATAACACAGCGTAATCATATTCACCCCTTATCACACTTTTGCCTTTTCCCCACCTGTCATTAAGCATTGTTTATAGCAACACAGGTGAGTTGTTCCTAAGACTACATACCCCTTATCAGTGAGTGTGTCATTGACAAAAACTGTCTCTCCCCCAGCCTAACAATCATTATCTACCTACAGCTATTTAGGGAGGGGATGACTCATAAGCTACTCTCCCAAAGCTGCTGTTAACTGCTTATAAATCTTCAGGGAGGAGTGGGTCATGTAATTCTCTGGAGGGATTGTTAACATGCTTGACAGAATATTTAGCAGGTTCTCTGGTTTCCCACCTTCTTTCTGGGTGCTGGCGATTGAACTTGGGGCTCCATGCATCCTAAGTACAAGCTCTAACCCTGAGCCTTCTGCCTCCAGTTTGTCCAAAGGCATTTTTAAAGTCAGGGACTTTTTTTGGGGGGGGGTTAAAATAGGTGAGAAAAATCTAGTACTTGCCCAAAGGAGGGAGATAGCAAAAAGATAAAAGCCACGCTTACCACACGGTGGACAGACATGGCAAATGTGAGTTTTAGAGAAAGTGTAAAAAAGCCTGAAGTGCTAGAGAAGCTCTGGCCAGTGTCTGAAAGAAATGACAGCAAAATAAGCTACACCCTTCTTAGTAAGGTGGACAGATCCAACGGAACCTCAGGGTGGCTTGTAGGGACTGTAGGGGTTTAAGGTGAACCAGCCTTCCTGAAGGGTTATTTCCTTGGCCAGGTGACTGACCTGCCTGGCTGGATTAACTGCTTTTTAAATATATTTTTTTTTGATTGTGTGTGTGTATGTACACATAAGTACAAGTGCCTCAGAGGCCAGATGCATTGTATCCCCTGCAGCTGGAGTTGCAGGTGGTTGAGCCATGACACAGATACTGGATACTGAACTCTGGTCCTCTGGAAGAACAATAAGTGTTCCTAACTCCTGAACCATCTATTCAGCCCCAATAATTTATTAGGAAACTGTGGCACAATTCCGCCTGGAAATAGGGTTCTTTCTTTCTTTGGGGGCGAGGGGTTCAATACAAGATTTCTTTGTGTAGCTTTGAAGCCTGTCCTGGAACTCACTCTGTAGAACAGGCTGGCCTTGAACTCAGAGATCTGTCTGCCTCTGCCTCCAGAGGGCTGGGATTAAAGATATGCACCACTTCTTGGTCAGGTTTCATTCTTTTTATAAATATAAATTACTATTTTTTTTTGTTTGTTTTTGAGATTGCATCATTTTCCTCTTCCATTTACTCTCTACAAACCTGCCCATATAGCTCTTCTTGGGTTTAGGTGCCAATTTTAGCCAGACTGAAAAATGTTTCTCAAATATGGACCCTTCACTGCTACTCTGACAAGATAATTCTGAAATCATTTAGGAAGCAGACCAAGTACATTCTTATTCTAAAAAAAAAAAAAAAAAGTAAATCATCTCCAGTCACAGCTGTGCCAATGAGAGTGAAACCCCACTCTTACTTTGCTGAGTAGTCCTCTAGGTGATGGACGTTAGCATCTTCTGGGAAGAGGTCTCTGGACTTCCTCCCAGTGTTTTGTTTAGGGTGTTATTTAGACCTATGGACTTTCACTAATTAGTTTTTTTTAAACAGACAAGAAAAGGCACAGTATTTAATTCATATGCTATTTGTATCAGTTACTATAAAAAGTCATGACATAAGTATGCATCTATTTGTAGTTACAGAAATTATCACACTGTCAATAACACTTTAGTGATCAGATAATAAATAATATTCCTTCAAGGCAGAAATTTGTCATCTGATCATCATTTCCACCAGCTGTTTAGATGATCAAAAGTTGCTGAGTGTTGACACACATTAATAACTGGCTTTATTGAGTAGATCTAAAAAAAATGCTGTACCCCTACACAAAAAAATGAACAAGGACTGACAAAACTTCACAGAAACTATTGAAGATAGGCTTAATTATTCTGTGTCTGAAGATGTATGCTTGTAATCACCACACTTTGGACTGTAAGACAGTCTAAAGTTCAAGACCAGCTTGGATGACACAGATAATTCCTAGATTAGGAACATTCTAGGAAAATTCCTAGAATTATTAAGCAAAATAAAAATATCTGTATTTTTCATGTGCAAAAGAATGAACGTCTTAGGAGGCTAATCATAATAGGTATGTTAAGGTTCTAACAAATCCATTTTACAGAGTATGAATAGTCTTCAACTTCACTAAAAGGCTGTTTTCTAAAATTCTGACTGTAAGCTAGCACTTGAATGGCACTTAGATCCTAATGTCCATTTCCAAATACCTATGACCAATCAACTGCCAGGTGGCCAGTAATAAGCCCACTACTTATAGAGATGGCCTTTTCAGGAAAGGAGATTTGAATATCAGCGGCATTAGCATGAAAGAGAGGAAGAGGTTGATCCTTCTGGATACCAGGCCACTTAACTACATGAAACACTTATGGGTGATGAAGTATTAGAGTACTTCTGCTTTATATATGGCTACTTATAGACACTTAAGAGTTTATATTTTTTTCATTTTTTATTTCTTAAACTAAATATAAACCTAGCAGCTACTACTTTAGATTTTATTTAAATTGAAAACATGAGTTTAGAGAAAAGATGGAGCCAGAAAGCTTTGTAATGTTATACATCAGTGAGCTTGAACTATAGGGGTCAGCTATCCAACGTTATACTCAGACATTTGCGGACCTGTGAGTCAGTGCATTTTTAAGAGCTCAAATACTAGAGTTAGCTAGTCTGGGTTCAAAGTCTGATGCTGCCTATGCTAACTAGATCTGTAACACTGAGATATTTACCCTCCTTTCCTCATCTTAAAACAATGAAAGTAAGTGATAATTAAATGGAAATGTATTAGGTCTACTTAATACAATGCCTGCCACATGGTATTTACTTCATAAATGGCAATTACATTGATTATGAGTTTGGCTCAATTCCTTATTTCCTACTTTAGGAAGAGAATGTTTTTTTTTTTTTGTGTGTGTGTGTGTGTGTGTGTTTAATGTCTATCTTCAATAATAAATATTTTTGGTCAGTGACATATCTTTTGATAGTATCTAAGTAATCACAATGACAAGCCAATATGGTAGTAACACAGTGACCTTTATTGAGAAGGTCCAAACATCAAAACTGAAGTATTTTTCAGTTCAGTTTGTCGAAATACTTCAGTTTTCCAGCTGGATCTGGGATTATCTGTTAAAACAAAAAGCAAATTAGTCATTTAAAAAATCCCAAGTACACTCTGCAGAAAAAAATAATGGTATCTTGAAATTCGCAGGCAAGTGGATGGCACTTGAAGAAACCATCCTGAATGAGGTAACCCAGTCAAAAAAAGAGAAACACAGTATGTACTCACTCATATATGGATTTTAGAACTAGATCAAATGATCACCAGCCTATAATTCACATCACCAGAGGAACTAGGATACAAGTTGTATTCTAAGAGATTCATATAAAGTCCCTCACAGAACTGGGAAGGGACAAGTCCCCCAGAGCTCAGGTAAAGTGGGGGAGGACAGCTAATGGAGAGAGAAGTAGGAAAAAATGAGGGGGGGGAGAGGAAGGCATGTGCGACCAGGAGGATTGAGCCTGGTTAGGAATGGAAAATAGGAAAGAGAGAGAGAGAGAGAGAGACAGAGAGAACATAAAAGAGGGAGCCAATATTGGTTTGAAGATAAAGTTGAACACAAAGAAAGGTCGAGGGAACTACAAGACTGCTCCCAACTAACAATCTCAGCTTCCGTGGAAAGGCTATCATAAATGCCCTTCCCGGAGAGTGAGATCAACAACTAACATCTCCATGGAGCCCTCAACTAATGCCTGTTGAAAACAGGAGCAAACACCCATACATAAACACTGAGCCGAACTAGAACCCAGAAGCAGATGGAGAGGACAAGACCATGCGGTAGAAGTACATAGAGACAGCTTACCTGAAAAAGGAGGAGCTAAGGGCCACTAGACTGATAGCTGGGAAGCCAGCAGGGGACTGACTCGGACCCCCCTGAACATGGGTCTTAGCCAGAAGGTCTGAGCAGTCTAAGAGACCTCAGACAGTGGAGCCAGGATGTATCCCTGGTGCACAAAAGGACTTTGCAAACATATCCCCCATGGAGGGATAACTGCCTTATTCTAGAGATAGGAGAGAAGCCCTAGTCCCTACTTCACAGGACCTGTCAGATCCACATGACCCCAACTGGATGGCATTCCCCTACATATGGTATTGTGGTGGGGGGTTGGGAGGAGAGGGTGTTTAGAGTGCATGTGAGAGGGCAGAGAGGGTAAAAGGGAGGGAAGGAGGGAGAACTGGAGGGGAGGGAGGGAGAGGGAACTGGGATCGACATGTAAAATAATAAATTAAAAAAAAAAAACCCAAGTACATTATGAATACTTTGCCATTATTTACTCTCCTCTTTAAGTAGAAACAAATCAGATTATGTATTACGTTTAGGAAAAACTAGATTTGTGCTATCTACTAATCTCAGATACCCCAAGAAGCAAATAATATATTTTCAATGAAATAACATCATCTTACCCAAGCAACCCAAAATTTCCCACAGCTCTTCTCTTGGCCACCAAGCTTTCATGGTACATTTGAGCCCAATCTAATTAACACATTGAAAACATGGCCACAGATGTTAATGTATTTGCTGATTAGATGATATTATATAATAGCCTGAAAAGGGGGATGTGCACTGACTAAGGGTTCATCAAATTAGCTTTAGAGGTATTTCAAGTACTGGGGGCTGAACCCTGGGACCTTAAACTGTTAAACAAGAGCATTATCACTGAGCTGTACCTAAAGCTTTTTTAAAAAGTTTTTCTTTTCTGAGATAGGACCTTGATGTATTTCCTATCTTAGTTTTGAACTCTGGTACAGCCTAGGCAGGTCATGAACATTTGATCTTCCTACCTCAGCCTCCTAAGTAGCTGAGATTACAGATTTGTATCACTAAACCTGGCTCATAATGCAACATTTTATAATCTTAAGCTGCAAAGTAAAAAACAACACAAATAGCTAATAAATAATTCAGTGGGTAAATACTCTAAAAACAAAGAAACTCCTCCAAAGAGCATCTTAAAGAAGATGTGAAATTACAGCATTAATGGTATTTTGAGCACTAGATATATTAAAGATAAATTTGCATGAGGTTGGTTTATATTTGGTTAATTGTACAGGATTACACATATAACTATGAATCAGAAGCTACTAGTTTAAAAAGCATTTCTATTTTAAGATAGTAGGCAATTCTGCATGCAGGTATATAGCAAACCAACTCTGACAAAAAAAAAAATAAAGAATTTGCAACTGGATGGCATCACCCTACATATGGAATTGGGGTGGGTGGATGAGAGGGGAGGGTGGTTAGAGTGCATGTGAGAGGGTAGAGAGGGTAAAAGGGAGGGAAGGAAGGAGAGAGGGAGGGAGGGAGAGAGGGAACTGGGATCGACATGTAAAATAATAAATTAAATAAATAAAAATGCTTTGACTCCAAAATTTAAGTTCAAGGACAAGTTACTGGGGAAACGGATTTCTATTTTTGTTTCCACAAAAAAAAAAAAAAAAAAAAAAGAAAAGATGTGGATTCCTTCCAGACTAATGTGGTTTGATCAAGCCAGACCACCTGAAACAGAGTACCAGGTGATCCTACATTCAAAACAGCTGGAAAAAGCAGCCTTACAGACTACAGACAGGATTTCTGAATCTTCTTAGAATCCCCCATGACAGCATCCCTCACCAGCAGGAAGTAGTTTGGAAAGAACAACGTCCACATTCCCAAATATTGTCTATAAATGTTTGTTTTCATTAAAAAAAAAGAATTTGCAGGTACATTCTGAGTATTCAGCTTCTGAATTATCAGCTAAAGCTCCAAAGAACAGACTCAGTAGGAAAGTATTATAGGATAAACAGTATAGATTTCAGAAAATATGCTATTCACGAGATTAAATTTTAGAGGGCATAAACTTCTTTAAGAATCTGGTAAAAATCATGGATTTACAGAAAAATGTGTCAACGTGTTTAATTCTTAAGTGACAAAAATAATTCTATGTGTTTTTGGATTTGGTCCTTCTTTCAACACACATTTACTGAGTACCTGCTATATGACAACCATTTAAACTATTAGCCAGACAGTATGTATTAACATATTAGGTAACTAATAGCCCTTGTCTTCAGATTTATAATCTGTCATTTTTAGACTGCTAAATAGTTTTAAAAACAAGTTGATGGGATAGTGAATGGGGCTGGTATAGAGTGCTGTGGAAAAGATTTTCAAGACGACATCTAGCTGTAATATGAGTGAAGAGGAGGAGCCAGTCAAGCACACAGAGGGCAATGCAGAAAGAACATCAAAGGGGCTGGAAGATGGTTCAGTGGGTAAAAGCTGTTGTCATGCTAGCTTGATGATCTCTGGAACCCTCATAAAGGTGAAAGGGAGCAGACACAAGTTGTCCTCTGCCCTCCAAACAGAGATGATGGCATGCATAGGCACTTATCATACAAACATACAATGCATAGTAACATTGTTTTAAGGAAGAACATAGAAAGCAAAACCTTAAGGCAGCATCCATGTTCAAAAAAGAGAAAGGAGGTGGAGAGACGGCTCAGAGAATAAGAGCACTTGCCACTCTTCCAGTGGTCCTGAGTTCAATTTCCAGCAACTATATGGTGGCTCACAAAAAAGAGAAAGGAGTACATCTGTCTCTCGATAATGGTACTTCTATTTTAAGAAAATTCCTTCCTTCCTTCCTTCCTTCCTTCCTTCCTTCCTTCCTTCCTTCCTTCCTTCCTTCCTTCCTTCCTTTAATATTTTGTTCCTAACTACCGTTTGATTTTCAGAAGCTATAAACATGCGAGGTTTTAGATATTATTTAAGAAAAGATTCCTGCAAGTATCTAAGTCCTTTTAGTCAAAGACTACTTCAAGAAGAAGTTATGAACTGTACCAGTATTCCTAAAGGGAGGAAGTGTATCTGTTTGAATCTTAAAAGACAAGGAGCAAACCATTAGCTTTGGTGATCATTAAAAGTAGATTTTCTTCAAAGCTTTCTCCTATGCAGAGAGGTTTGCTCAGGGCTGTTTCCTTGGCTCACAATGTAGGAAGAAATTCCATACATAAACTCTAAGTTGATTTTCCTACATCTCTACTTTGCCCTTTTGCTTTCTCCTTTTAAACAGTATTATTTCTCTGGATAGTTAGCTTTAAAATTCACAGTATTATCTGTATTATGACGTCTCTTATTTTAGCTACTCTCCTGCCAGTCCAACAGATGTCTGAAGTATGATTTCTGCTTAATAATGACTTGTTCATTTTAGAATCAGGACAGTCTGATTATAAGGAAAGATCACATTAAAGTTGGCATACATTTTTTGGCTCTGGCCGTGCCTTTAACAACTACAACAAAATTAATGTGACTTACTGTTTCACTACCAGGTTTCCAGCCAGCAGGGCAGACTAAAAGGAACAAAAATAAGACAAAGGCAATTAAAAACAGTTTAATTTCCTTTAGCAACCCCTGAACCTGTTTCCATGAGAAAGAAAAAAAAATCATATTAAACATGTACAGACTGCCAAGCACTTGGCTTCTGTTAGCTTGTCAGCTAAGTTTATGAGCAGGAAGCTTATCTATTTTAATTTTTACCAATTATTCTTACTTGCAGTTACAATATGAAAAATCAATTGGATATTTATAACAACATTAGAACTAAAAGGCCTAGGTAAGTCATCCCCTTGAGTTTACATATATGAACAATAAATTATCTGCCCTTATATCTTAGGGCTTCTACTGCTGTGATAAAATACCATGACTTGGGGAAGAAAGAGTTTATTCCACTTAGACATCACAGTCCATCTGTGAAGGAAGTAAAGGCAGGAGGTTAACGCAGGAACTAAAGCAGCAGCCATGGAAGAGTGCTGCTCTGACCTGTTCCCCAGGGCTTCCTCAACTTGCCTCTTTAATAGCACCCAGGACTACCTACTCAAGGGTGGCACTATTAACATTTAGTTTAGGCTTCTCACATTAATCATTTTGTGAGTTACTGCCAAGGTGTACTGTTTGTCAACAGACTTTAGAATGTGCAGAGTCAGAGAACTGAGCTATATTTTCTATATTCCAAAATTTAGACAATTTATACATTTCTGGGTTACAGAGTATGGCTGATATATGCATTCTCTGTGGGATCATTATATGAAACTAATCTAACTCACTGTTTTTGTAGTAAGAACATTTAAAATCTACTCTCAGGTACTGGAGAATTGGCCCAGTGGTTTGGTGATACTGCTCTTCCAAAGAAACTGTGTCTGGTTTCCAGCATCTATATCAGGTGTTTTACAACTACCTATAACATTGATTCCAGAGTTGTGATTTCTGGCCTCTGTAGGCACCTGGACATACATACTCTCACAAACATACTAACACAAACCCATATTTAAAAAAAAATCTACTCTCAGCAATTATTGTAACTTTTTATTGAGACAGCGTTCCACTGTGTAGCTGTAGATGGCTTGGAACTCACTATGTAGATCTGGTTAGCTTTGAACTTACACAGATAAACATCTGACCCCCGCCAACCATACTCAGCAATTACATTTTAAAGGCACACAAAACATGTTATATTTTAGCAAAATTTGATTATTTTTCTATTTAGGTACTGCTGAAACTTGTGAAATGTGGACTGACAGATTATTGGGTAACACTGAATAATCTTAACAATTACATTAATTTAAAAAGCTAAATTGGAATGGTCATTCTAACACATTCACTGAGATGTAGAGTTTGAGACTGGGCAAATATTTGAGCAATGTCTTAGGGCTTCTACTGCTGTGATAAAATACCATGACTTGGGGAAGAAAGAGTTTATTCCACTTAGACATCACAGTCCATCTGTGAAGGAAGTAAAGGCAGGAGGTTAAGGCAGGAACTAAAGCAGCAGCCATGGAAGAGTGCTGCTCTGACCTGTTCCCCAGGGCTTCCTCACCTTGCCTCTTTAATAGCACCCAGGACTACCTACTCAAGGGTGGCACTATTAACATTTAGTTTAGGCTTCTCACATTAATCATTAATCAAGTTAATACCCCACTGACTCACTTATATGCCAACCTGATGGAGGGACTTTCTCAAGTTCACTACAATACAGTAGTTAATTAAGTAGCTAAATATAATAAAACATAAATAAATAAAACCCACATTACTAAATATTGTCATGTTGGTGCCACAGTTTTATACAACCAAAATCTTAAAAATTCTAGGAGAAACTTTTTTGAGTTTATCCAAAGGGACTGTGCATATAAGGTATATTTTTATATCTTGTTTATAGTAAGCAGAAGATAATAGAGATACTTCGATAAAACATTTAAATTAAAAACTTTGCTTGCTAAATAATTCTACTAAACTGAAACCCATAATTAGAGTATGTTGGAAGCATTCAAATTACATTTAGGAGTAAAAAATTAAATTATGCCTTTGTCTGCTCCCCTCATACACATTAAAAAAAAAAAAGATGGGCAGGAGGTCATAGGCCCTATATGGGATCCTAATACTGTTGATTTGCTCCATGGACATGATGCCAAACTGCCTTCTAACAATGTTACATGTTTGAACACAGATAGTGCTGCTTTCAGTTGCAGTGGGGGCAGTTAATTTATAACTTATCAAAGTGCTGATAATAAGTGGCTGTTAAGTACTTGGTCTTAAAGAGGACATCTGTATCTCCAAGGTTTGGAGAATATCTTGGAAGATGGACAGAAACAGTCTTAAGAGCCAGAGAATGAGAAAGACTATTAGGAAACCATGTCTTCTGGATATGACAACTGTATTCATCATCATAGCAGTTATGGTTACCTGCACAGATTGGATAAGGGGAGGGGTGCATCCTCCACTCTTCATTGAGACATTTAATGTGGGAAAGAGAATTATTTTCTTCAGTAGTATAGCTACTAATAAGTTGCCCATGGTCCAGAAAATAACCCCAACCCCTAGTCATGTTCATGTAAGCAACCCTAATAAAGCTCAATGGGTCTCCAATAAAAATACAAAAGTAGGATGGATCTTGGAAGAAAGGAGAAGAGTTTTGGTGGGAGAAGTGGATAAGAGGGTAATAAGGGGTAAAAAAGACCCAAATTCATTTTAAACATATATGATATTGTCAAATAAGAAAATAAGGTTTTAGAAAAGAAAGGTACCTTCTCCATGCTTGTCAGTGTACTGGAATGCTTGAACCAAACGCAGTGTCTCGTCTACTGATCTACCCACAGGAAGGTCATTCAGAGTAATCTGCCTTAGGACTCCTTTGTCATCAATAATAAAGAGGCCTCTGTAAAGCATAGGGATGGTAAAGGTGATTCCATTTCTTCTCAGTTAAGTAAGTATTCTGCTGTATGGAGTCAGCAGTACTACTCTATTGCTACAGACATTCTGATCCTTATATAGTTTTGGATTATCACTGTTAAATTTGGTTTTGAGGAACTGGAGAGGTAGTTAAGCAGGTTAAAACACACACTGCACATTTCAGAAGACCCAAGTTCAATTTGCAGCCCACACTTCAGGCAGCTCAGAAGCCTTTTACTCCACTTCTAGGGATCTGGTGCCTCTCTCTAAAGACATATCCACATACAGATTTTAAAAACCTGGTTTTGGGGGAGAGGAAAATCTGTTTTCAGATGAGCGGTTCCTACCATCTTTCAGGATTTATAAGCAGGCAATGGAGGGGCTTAAACCCTCCTTGTGTATCTCTAGGCAAGTAATGGTTGTTTTTTTTTTGGCCACTGGTAAGGTGGCCATGGTCCTATAAACCACCCTACTTCAACTCACTGGGCCACACACATATGCAAAAAGGACATGAAAGTAGAGGATATCTACATGTATAAAAATATTATAATGAAATCCCATATTATATATAATGTTTTAAAAAACTTAATATATCTAGCGCTCCATGTCTTTAATACCAGCACCAGAAAAGCAAAGGCAAATGAATGTTTGTGAGTTGGAGGTCAGCCAATTCCAGACTAGTTAAGGCTACATTTAAGTCTCTGTTTCAGAAACAAACAATTTCTCCCTCTGAAGGGGAAAAATATCTTTAATCTGACTTTAAATAATCCTAGCACTTGGAGGGGTGGCAAAGGCAGGGCAACCTCATCTCAAAAAACAAGCTATTAATCAAAATAAAAGGGAAAATTCAGTATTAGGTAATATTACTTGGTCAATATTCAACAATGTTTAAGTTTTTAATGCTAAAATTTCTTTTTTTCAAATAATTCTATTTTTACTTACTAGCTCATGTAAAAGCTGCCAGCCTTGTATACAGAGTGAGTTCCAGGACAGCCAGAGCTATAGTGTCTCAAATAATTAAAAGCCAATAAAGCTGAAAAGGCTGTTGAGTGAGATACTGCCTTAGTCTTTCCAAAGATACAGGTTTGCAAAGTACTAAGTACACATTAGAAAAACATTACTGGAGCCAGTTCATAAAAAAGGAAAGTGTTAAGGGGTTAAGTAGACCCAGATATAAGTGTGGTCTCTGCTATTAACTTATTCTGTAACTCTCTAAATTTATAGAAATCTACATATCTGCTTCTTTTATCAGTAGAGAGGTTGCCAAAGCCCTCTACCAGCTCTAACAGTGTGCAACTCTATAGGGAAACAACAGTTTAAAGTCTATCTATAACGTTCCTGCAAATACAGCAAAGTAATTTTTTTTATCAAAATATCTATCTTCTAACTCTGAAGCATCACCCATTATAAATATACTTGCATTTCTCAAAATGTTAACCAAAGAAGGGTACCTAAGAGTATGGCCTGAGTCCTCGAGGTATACACCATAGTCCTTTGAGATCTGATGGTTCAGGTCTGAAAGAAGTGGAATCCTTATTGGCCCCAGTCCTCCCTGTCTTCGAGGAGTATTAATCCTGTAACAGAGAGGACACTTCAGTTCTCAGAGATAAGTGACATATTAAAAATCAACTCTTTCCACATATGAAAGTACATAAACACAACCATATATATAACAAAAACAGGCTACTGTACTTTCTATTTTCATGCCTTTTTTCTCACTGGGTAGGTAAGCATATCCATATTCTTTGAGTACTAAATGCTGATACACTTCTACATTTTTAATGTATAAAGTACTACATTTTATTGATCTCCCTGCGCAGACTTAAAACTCATTGCATTTTTCTTTCATAAATACTGCTGAAAGTTTGCTATACACTTATCCTTGCATAGTTCTCTGATACCTTCTAGAAGCAGAATTGATAAATTAAAGGGTGTGCACTTAAGGTGTATAAGATAGGATAACTTGCTGATCTCCAACTCACACAGATCTGTTTGCCTCTGCTTCCCCAGTGCTGGGATTAAAGTCATGGGCCTCCATGGCCAGAAAGACAGGGTTTTTAAAAACATACATTAATTATATAGAATACTGGATTTTATTATAATAAAAGGATGTGTCTTAAGTCTTAGAACAGATCACAAGACAAAGCCTTGAAAAAGGTGGGATGCAATGAGAAGATCTTACACTGCTCTGCAAGGCCAAGAAATTCAAACTCCATATGAAACAATGAAGGAATTTAGTCACAACTTCAAATCCATCAGTCTGTAATCTGAAATCGCAGCACTTGTGCACTGTTACTACACCATGGAAGGTCACTGTCATAGTAGCAAAATAAAACCAAAATGGAAATAGTGTTCTGTGGGTCTGAAGCCTCAGTTCTGACATCTAAGTGGAAACCTTGGCTAGGATTAGTATAAAACTTATCTAGTTAAGAATATAGCACCAAATTCCCATAGCAAAGCACACTAGAGGGCTAGAGAGATGGCTCAGTAGTTAAGAGCACTGTCTGATCTTCCAGGGATCCCGAGTTTAATTCCTAGCACCCACATGGTGGCTCACAATCACCTACAGTAGGATTCAATGCCCTCTTCTGGCATGCAGGTGTACATGTAGATAGAGCACTCATACATAAAAAATAAATCTTAAGCGAAAAGAAAACACACCCAAATTATGTGGAATGGTATAATTTTTTCCAAAGCTGTCATGAAGACATGAATTTTATTCCTGAAAGTTTTACAATCAGTACAAAAATGATAAAGCAAATGAGCATGTAGACTTAATATTATTTTATTAGTAATCAGGATATATTTGTTTTTTATAATTGTAGGTCTCCAACCAATTGGACTCTGTCCTATATACTTTGTATTTATAAGTTTAATGAATTAAATATTAGATTTTCAAATCAAAAGAATTCTCAATGATCTTTGTGAAAAAATTTCAGCACAAAACTGCTGACATTATTCAAAACTTATATATATACCCATACACTTTTCAGACTTTGATACATGCTGCTGAGTTACTCTCCAGAAATGTTGAACCCTCAACTATGTCTGAGTGCCATTCCTTTACACCTTTAATAACATTGAAGCTTTTTTCAATCTTGGCCAATGAGACAGAGAGAAATGGCATTTCTTTTCACTTTAACTTGCAGTTCTTTGCAGCTTGTTAGGTGAAACACCTCATGATAATGCATTTTTAGAAGTTACGTTTAGAACCTTTTTTTTGTTTTGCTTTTATATATTGACACAGGCTCTTACTTTGTAGCCTGCATTGGCCTTGATATCACAGAGATCCCTCCATTTCAGCCATACTAGTCTAAAATTAATTTTAAAAAATTTACTGAACATGGGTCTCAGTTAGAAGGCCTGGGCAGACTAAGGGACCTCTGACAGTGGAACCAGGTTGTATACCTGGTTCACAAAAGGACTTTGGGAGCACATTCCCCATGGAGGGATACTCCCTTAAGCTAAAAGCAGGGAGGGAGGGCTTAATCACTACTCCAAATGACTTGACAGATTTAGATGACCCCTCCTGGAACTGGAAGGCATCACCCTACATGTGGAGTGGGAAGGATGGGAGGGGAGGGAGAGAAGGAAAGAGGGAGGGAGGGGAAACTGGGATTGATATGTAAAATAAAAATAAAAAATTAAAAAAATTTACTGTTTTGAAAACTGTAAAAGCTAATGACTGAACCAACAAACTGATGACTATATAACAGAAGTGTTCTAATTCTTTTTCACATCAAGGATACCCCAAAAAATTATATTACTACCATATTAAGAGCTATTTACACAAGACTAAGAACTAAATCTATTCAGTTTATCCCAGACTTAAGGCAAAATACTGACCAGGCCAAGTGGGTAAACTGAGAGTCGACAGAGCATGCCACTACTTCAGTATTTATAGATCTGAATTCTTCAATTCGGTCACCAAAAGCAATGATTTCAGTTGGACATACAAAGGTGCTGAAAGTTGAAAAAAGAAAAGTCAATAGTCTCAAAATAAGCACACATCTGAACTTTCAAATGAGTTTTTGTTTATTATAGACACTTTTGAATATATAAACATACCTTAAGGACACCTCATAGATGAGTTTTCTACATGTGAAATTCTAAGACAGTATTTAATTAAATACTTTAAATAAATTTTGAGTTCTCAATTGCATTTCAACAAATTTTCTTCTTACAATTCAACTAATCAGTATGTGACCAATGTTTCCTTCTTCCTCACAGCAACACTATTTCACGAGCTTTTAATTAGTATTTTGTAGTTAAGTATTTTACAGATTTCAAGGGAAGTAAGCAATGTCTATTACCATTTTGCTTCATCTTTCTTATTCCTATGAACAAGCCTCTTGTACATGTAATTTATAGATGAGGCAATATTTTTTAGGCCTCCCTCCTGCTTTTAGATAGTTCCTCCTCCACCTTGTGTTAGTTACAGCCCCATGTAAAATATGCCCAGGTAACATAAAATTCTATCAGAATGGCAGGTTGAGAGGATATTATTCTGTGCACTAATTTTAAAAAATGTTTTATTATTTTATGTTTGTGAGTGTTTTGCCTGCTTATATGTTTGTGGAACATGTATGTGCTTGGTCCAGGTCACCTTGAACTGGAGTTACAGAGGATTATAAGAGGTCATGTATGTATTGGTAATCAAATCTGGCTCCTCTGAAGAGAAGCCAGTTCTCTCAACTGCTGAGCCATCTCTATAGTCCCACTGGAGATAATTGTTTTCAAACATGGTTAAACTTAATTTTGTGAGCTGTAGCCATTGTTAAAATGTAATATAAAAATGACAATACATCACACATAATGATGCTATCTATTAGACATTTGTGCACATATAAATTTGTGTTTAGTAGTGACATTAAATCTTAACTTGAAGCTAGGTTTAGATCTCTAATTTTCAGAAAGGGACCACTTGGGAGTGCCAAATTAGAGGTGTTTTGAGAAGGTGGTATTTTACCACTTTGTATGGCAATTTTTCAGTATTTAACATTAAGCAAGGCTGTGCTTATACACACAGGCTGAATATTATCCTGTGTATATATCCACATGTATTGGGTGGCAATGAAATATGTGATTCTTAATGTCTGGGTTATGGCCCAAAAGTTTGAAAAACAAATTTAGGGGACAAGTTCCCATTTGAATCCAATAGTAGATTTAAAAATAATTCAGTTGTTTAAGCACAGCATTGCCATATGCAAACATACATTTCTAACTGCCCCTGCTAACTTTGGTTTTATTACATCCAGTAGTTCCTAAAAGGGTTAATGGTCAGATTCTACCTTCTTTCTTATTATCTCAAGATTTCTACTTCTGGTTTCTGTTAGAAATTAACTTATTCTTTTGGTTGATAGAGCCAGGCTGATTAGAAAGATATTTATTAGAATTCTTTCCAGTTGGCTTAGTACAAAGCGTTGGCAAACTTTGTTCTACTGGCCAAATCCTGCCTTTTATTGGTGATATTTCTCTGAAGCAAAGCAGGAAACATGCATGTATATTTTATCTATAGCTCCAAGTATGGAATGGGGGGAAGATGGACAGCTTTATGGAGATAACAAGATTAAAATCACTCATTGTTCTTTGTCCTAACTTCTGGCTTACAATGTATAGAAATTTCCCTAATTTTCACCTGTTTAGATTCATCTTACTGGGAAAGGTAAAGAAATTTTTTAGTTGCTTTTTGTAACCCTACCCCTCCCCAAATTCAAATAGAAAAAATGAGAGGTTGAGATAACTAATTTTGTGTTTGTTGCTTTTAACTCTTTTATGAGAAAGGCATTCTCAGAATTGTATGTTTCAAAATAAACTCATTGATGTGAAATAACTACAAGCCAATTTATAATTGAATTCATGGGCATTCAAATAATGCTGTCACAACTGAAGAACCCCACAATCAAAAGTATTACTATATATATATATATATATATATATATATATATATATATATATATATATCATATCATTAAAATGTTCAAATCTCAGGAAAATTATATAGCAAATAAAAAGAGCAAAGCTTTTATAGTAAACAGAATTATGTATTAACTCTTGCAATAACTACTTGCTAAAATATCAGTCTATTTTCTTGTCTTTGTGACTCACATATATGGTAGGTATTACCATCCTCCTCTCAAGCTTGCCTTATTAAGAACCACCAGTTGAAAAACAAATTCTGTTTGTTGTTCTTGAATAACAAATGACAAAGACTGGCATTTTATTAGTGGGCACTTGTATGCATTACTTACAAATCGAGTGGGTAGAAGAAAAAAACTAAGTACTTCCCACGATAGTCAGTCAGTTTGAGCTCCTTGAATTCTCCGTTTATCACAGCTGTTCCTTCCCAGTACGGTGCTGGCTTAGAAACTAAGAAAGAAAAACAATGTTCTATGACACTGAGAAAGTTTTTGGAATTGCAAAGGACATCTTTAGAACACTCTAAAAATTGGGGCGTCTAAAGCTTTGGACTTCATTGGCAGTCAGGAAGCTTACTGACTTCTGAGAACTTAGAACAATAACTTACTGTTAGAGAATATAAGATACATAGAATTACAAAGAAATATAATTACCCTGAAATGCAAGTATAAGCAATTTAAAAAGTTGGTGATATAATAGCTGTGTGTTCAATCACACCTTCAAGGTATAAGATATGGGAATGATCCCATAACCCTAAGATAACACTGACAGGATCTCTGCAATAGCTATCATATGGCATGAAAGTCTCTGTGACTCAATGGGCAATAGGTATAAGCAAGTACTTTTGGACTGAGTGTGAGTTGTTGCCCTGCCTGTAATAGGAGGGAATGCTAAATTTCAGTTGGATGTTAGTGAAAATAATTTTATATATAGATTTTTATCCTGGTTACTGCAATTAATACACATTAATTGAATGAAATGATAAAAATTTTTCTGTCCATGTCCACAAAGTTTTATTATCTTATCCTTGTACTAAACATTTCAGGCTATTTCATTACAGCCCCTCCAAGTTATCCCAGATCATGGGATAGTTTTCCTAGAAGGCTTGAAAAAGGAGACTCGCCCTAACCTTTTGAACAGGTTTCAAATGACCTGATGCATAGTGCTGCTGTACTGTAAAGGCATAACTCTAGCTAGTACCCTTCTTGATAATTATGTCTCTTCATGATGTTGACACATTCAAATAACACTTTCAAAACCATTAAAAATACTGAGAGCAATACTTGCTTCCAAGTTGAACTAAAGTTTCTAGAATCAAGCCTTATATTTTTGTGTAAAAGCCAGCACTAACAGTTGCTCTACAAATACAAACTGAAAATTCATTTCTTTGAGAAGTTAATACATAGCATGTGATTTCTTACACTGATCTTTTAAGAAAGGCCAGAAGAGAAAATTAGAAATGTGCTAAAGTCTGCATATTTTATATTCATCACTTCAAATAGAAAGCAGTTATAATAATTGTAATGAACTATTTTGACACCACTTAAGGATCTTACACATATAGAAAACCGTATCAGGAAAATAAATCTTGTTCTGAAAACTGATGTTTACAAAATTTTGTTTTGATAGTAACTACAGTTACTTTGCTAAGATTTTAAAATACAAAATTCCTTAAAAAAAAAAAAAAACCCTGTGTATCAAAAACAAAAACAAAAAACATGGTGATACACACCTTTAGTCCCAGCATTCAGGAGACAGAGGCAGGTGGGTCTCTGAGTTTGAAGCCAGCCTTGTGGTCTACTTAGTGAGTTCAGGGACAGCCAGGGCTACATAGAAAAACCTTGTCTCAAAAAACAAACAATACTGTCTTAAACATGCTTTAGCATAAGGATTCTGGTAAATACAAAGAAAATAATGAAGACAATTTAAATCACCTGTCTCTCTATCATTGGTTTACTACATTTTGATCTTTCCTACTTTTTTCAAACACAAATCTGGATCATGTTGCATCTTCATCTTTTCCTCTCATTCAAAATGTAATTTATGACATTTTCCATGTTATTAAAATGATTTGAAAGTATAGACTTAATTGCTCTACAATATCCCCTTCTATGAATAAAATTCCTCATTTTCTTCAATTCTAGATAAGCCTGCATATTACATAGATATGTAAAAATTACATAAAAATTTGAAAGGTTTCTAGTAAACAGAAAGCTGTTACACCTACTAGTTTTTCTTTTTCTTTTTTTTTTATACTTCCAAATATAGCTTTGGAATGGCTTTGTTTCCAACAGGAAGTATTTTGAGTAAACACATTTCAGAAGATCTTCCTCAGGCAAGTGAATTCAATGGGACCTGGAAATATTACTGCTTTAAAGCAAAGCTGGCTTTCTATAAATAATCCCAAAGTAGTTATATTGTACTATAAAACTGGAAAAACAGTCTTTCTCGTTCACTTCATGTGGTAGCAACATCCCATTATCACTAGAGTTGCATAACTGTGAAGTAGCCAGGTGTGGTGGGGCAAATTTGTAATCCCAGAACTCTACAAATTGAAGTAAGAGGATCACAGTGTTTGTAGCCATTCTGTCAGATCTCTCCAGGCCCTATGCTCAAATTGTCAAGCATCACTATTTTTTCAGAAGATGATGGTATTTGGCTGCAACAACCAAAATTCAAACATATATCTACAGAATGTCAAATAATCCCCTAGAAAAGTGGGTTAGGGAAAAGAAAGACGCAGGCTTTGTCTGGATGTCCTGGTCATTTCCTTTTGGCAATCTTAATATCCAGATGCAGCAAGCCTCAACTTTCTCACTATACACTTAGTCTGACGTGTCTTTTTTGAGAGTGGCCACTAGCTTCAAACACTGGACAGAAAGGCAAATAATGAAAAACCTAATTGACAGTGCACAGGATTTACCATCAACCCAATTGTGCTACTTCGACTCCCTATCCCAGTTTCCCTCCAAAATACTCTATAATAAAGTTTTTTTTTTTTTTTTTTTTTTTTTTTTTGGAACCATTAACAGCCACTAACTATATAAATTTTGGGGAAATGACTTCACTAAGAATCTTTGTATGGTATGAAAAAAAAGTATGACCTTCTCAGTATTTGTTTAACCGCTTCTCTGTTTAATCAAACTTTCTGTGAATCATTATTCAACTTATCAGTGTACTTTCTTCCCTGAAAAAGACAGGACTGCTGCAGGCATTTTCGGGTATTTAAGGAAGTTTTTTAGTTTGCACAACATCCTTCATGCCTGCAAGCCCGGGACTAGGAACACCCCCATTTGCGGCTTTAGGGGACCGCTACTTCTCCCGAAATCTGACCAGAGGAAACAATTTCTTTCTTCACACCAGGAACCCACCTACATCCTAACACCCACAAAGACAATGGGGTGGACCCAGAGCTCGGCCTTGGGGGTGGGCCCAACTCCAACCCCACCCTTTCATAGCATCCACGGTAAGAATCTAAGTATCCCAGAGTTCTGCCCCATCCACCCAACATCCGCAGAGCACCACCTACTCTTGGCTTTGCTTAGTTGCAGGGAGTGATCTGCGATTGAAACCCGGGACACCTCTCCCGGGTACACTTGTCCACCAGCGTAGAAGTGGCACTCATTTTCGCGGGTCCGGAACCGCTCCTCAGTCTCTAAACCCTGCAGAGCTTCGGTTCGCAGCAGGAACAACAGGAGCGGTGGCAGGAGCAGCACCAGCTTTCGAGTCCAGCGGCGGGACGGAGTCGTGGCGTCTAGCAGCTTGGACTGCGCCTCCATGACCAAGCGAGCGCGAATACACGTCCCTCAGCCAAAGCGCGGAGTCCCCCCGCCGCCAGGAGGCTAAAACGGCGCGCTTGAGACCACGCGAACCAGGGCGCGGCCTCGCGAGACTTGCTCCGCCCCACTCCGCCTCTCCCCCCTGCCACGTGGGCACAGGCCCCTCCCCTCCCCCAGCAGGCTTCTGCGCCTGCGTCATAGAGTGGGCCCAGCTGAATTGTTTTCCTAACTTATCGAAAGCTGCTTCCAAGGGTAGGTTGTGACTGGTCTCCAGAGCTCTGGCGACCCAAATCTCTGCAGATGTAATTCCATGTCCATCTCTATAAGAGAGCTTCCCTACCTCCTTCTCACTGTATCTCTTCAGAAGTTCACAGTAACCTATATACCTGTGAAGGACAGGGCTTCTCTGTGTAGCTCTGGCTGTCCTAGAAATGCTCTGTAGATCAGGCTGGGAGCGAACTCACAGACATCCGCCTACCTCTGCCTCCCAAGTGCTGGAATTAAAGGCGTGCACTACCACCGCCTTTCTGCAATTTATATTAATAGTTAAAGTCACCTCCATACATTTTATTGTTGTTTTTGAGAGATCATACTTGTGTGCACTTAGGGAACAATGGGATGAATATAACTTGAAATGTAGTAATTTCCTTATTTTCCTGTCAAGACCTAAAAGTTCCAAGAACCGCACCCCCCAGTGCAATACAAAAGCATAATTACCCCTTTACCATCTAACCTTTTCCTTCGCTTGTCTTGCCTCTCCTATCCATGATACATTCCCTGCCACCATTTAGTGATTGCCCTAGCGCCTCGAGCAGTCCATCCACTTCAGCTTGACAAAGACTCAATTGTGATATCACCTGTCAGCTCGCTTTGGCCCTAGTGCTGCCCTTCATGCACTAACCACAAGTCAATGTTAGCCCCTGCCCGTCCGTCCATCTATTTACATCTTTTTAAAAATAGTATTAATTATTATTATTATTACTATTATTATTATGGTTTTTCAAGAGAGGATTTCTCTATGTAACAGTTCTGGCTGTCCTGGAACTCACTTTGGAGACCAGGCTGGCCTCGAACTCACAGAGATCCACCTGCCATTTTATTTTATTTTAATGGGTGTTTTGTTGGTATGTGTGTCTGTGTATTGACTTTGTGGTTGGGGCTTATAGAAGATGACATTGAAGGATTCCCTAGAACTGAAGTTACAGTTGTGGGCTACCGTGAGGGTACTGGCAATCAAACTCTTTTCCTCTGAGAGAGCAGCTGCCACTTTTAACTTCTGAACCAACTCTCTCCAGCCTCCTTTATTACAAAAATTTAGATTATGGACCATTACTGTATCTGGTTTCCCTTCTTCTACACATTAATCCTTTCATGCCATAAATTCCTAAGGCACAATTGGCATGCATTATATTACTCTATTAGTCCAATATTCTTTTTGCCGCAGTGCGATCTATTAATGTTCCATGATTTCCCTCTCTAGATCTAACCTTTTTTTTTTTCAGTTTGGTGAGCACTCACAGATAAAAGTATATAATTTGAAAAGCAGTATGTCCTGGCTAGTCTTTCTCTTCCATCAGGAATTAAGAGGACAAACAGCCAGTTGGTGACTTAAGTGTGTCCCAGGTGTGTGTGTTGTAAAATCAAATGTGGTGCCAGGGGTTAGGATGCAGCAGAGCTCAGTCTTAAACACATGTCCAGGAGATTCTGGGTTCAGGTTCCAGAAGCTTTGTGGCTCACCCCTGCCCCTGGTGCCCTCACCCTCACCCACATCTTCTGGCTGAGAGGAGAATATACTTACTCATAACATTTTCCTGTAGCTCTTCACTTTCTGGAGGTCCATAGATGATAGGCCTCTGACGTGGTAGCTCTCGTTCCCATTCTTCTCCTTCCCTAGCCTCCTGCTCAACATGGAATGGAAGCAGGACCCTGGGGGCCCGGATTTGAGTTCCAGAGACTCGACTAAGGCCTATGCCCCCTCTCGGGCGGCTGCGGTGATCCATGGTGACTGTAAAACAGCCACTAGCCTTAGTATATTCTAGGCCCTGAGACTGGCTTCTTAGTTTGAATTTGAGTTTTAAAAAAGTTGGGAGAGAGCAATATATTTCTATACCTCTTTGCCCAAGGCTGAGCTGAGGTGCCCCAGTTGGTAGCAGGGACTGCTCACCAGCTGGGATCCAGTGACCCCTGCCCACTGGGGAGAGTGACCAGACTGGCCACCTCCCTGGGACCTGCTCTATGTCTCTAAGATGCTCTGGAATCTCTTGGTAGCTGGCATTCTGAGTGTCACTTACTCCGAGGCCTTTCAGCCAATGATATTTGGGCAGACATTGTGCTGTCATAGTAGCATCCACCAGGAAGCCTCAAGTGTAGGCCCTGCTCTCAAGGGCCCCACCATCCAGCTATAGTCAGTTACTCATTATAGATGCAATACCATCAGGTGGTGCTCCTAAATACCACAGATACTAATCAAAGATCACCTAAGTGTCTATATATTAACTTGATTTGCCCACACATTTTTTTTCTTTTTTACTTTTAATGGGCCCTACATAGTAAAGACACTCAGAAAGTATACCCTATGTGATTTGGCAAAGTGGCAATATATCGTTATGGAATCCGTTTCTGATATTGTCATGGCTACATTTGCAGGTCCCACTATGGATGTCAGTGTGCAGGCTCTAATCATATCTGGTTTCTTCCCTCTGCCTGGTATCTTAAATACTCAGATACTACACCTGGCATTTGTGGTCTCCACCTGTGTTGGGATCGTTTCAATTCTCTGAATGATCTACATAGCTACTTCTCCACATGTTCATTTGTTCCTGCAAACACTGATTTGGTTTGTTGTTATTGCTGTTGCTTGCTGGTGGTTCAGGTTGTATCCTGGCTGGATACAGTGGCTGGAGGGAGATAGGTAAGAAGTGCTGAGATGAGGTAGATCACTGTAATAGGCACTTGTGATGCTAAGAGAGCTTTGAGATGTCAATAGGCACCTCAGCCTGTTCAGGGTTTCTTTAGGACCTTACCATGCTGAAGTAGCATTTGTCCCTATCTCATTCTAGAAGGTGTTTATTTACCACCTGATGCTGAAACAGCTTTTTGATAGGTCCATGTAGTCTATGGCCACACCACCCTAAACACATCCAATCAAATCTGAAAGGCCCATGTAGGAAGAAACTTATGTCTCCCCTAAAGTGCAGCTACTACCTGGCCAGCCTTGTGAACATACAGTCTTGGAAGCTGTGTTTGATTCTGGTGACTGCAGCCTTATTTGACATCTTGACTGCAGCTACATGAAATACCTCAGGCAAGCATCTTTGCTGTTTAGCAGTTCCTGAATTTATGACCCTTATAAACTGCACGTTTCATGTTTCATGAATATTTATTACTGTTAGACTAAAAGAACAAAGCCTCAATATAGTTCCTGTATTGCCATTCTTTGTATTCATGCTAGATAATGTCAGAGTCAAGTTTAAAAATTAAACATTCAGGGCCAGGGAGTTGTCTCAGTCGGCAAGAGAGCTTGCTATGTAAACCCAACAAACTGATTTTGGGCCTGTGTCTTAGTTTGCTTTCTATTTCTATAGAAAAACACCATAACTGAAAGCAATTTTGGAAGAAAGGTTTATTGGGCCTACACAGTCTGATCGTAGTCCATCATAATGAGAAATCAGGGTAGGAACTTAAGGGAGGAACGTGGAAGCAGGAACTGAAGTAGAGACCTTGTAAGAATACTGCTTACTGGCTCACTTCTCATGGCTTGTACAGCCTGATTGCTTATATAGGTCAGGACCACAGGTCTGGAGGTGGCATTGCTCACAGTGGTCTGGGCCCTCTCACGTTAATCCTTAAATAAGACAACATCCCACAGAGTTACCTACGGATCATCTGATGAACACATTTTTTTTCAGTTGATATTTTCTGTTCCCAGATAAATCTAGTTTGTGTCAAGTTGACAGAAACCTAACCAGCACATCCCAGAGTCTCCGTAAAAAATCAGATTACAGTAACACAATATACCTAGAGTGAGATGAGACACCAGGTAGCCCGAAGGACACAGTGAAAACAAGGGTTATCCTGTCTCAAGATGGAAAGCAAAGAACTGATTCCTCAAGTTATTCTCTGGTTTCCACACATGTATGATCTTGTATACACACACACACACACACACACACACACACACACACACACACACACAAAATGTCCTCAAATTAGTGAGGACAGCATATGCTCATCAGTAAAGGCTCCTAGAGTAGAAAATCACAGCTGTTTGTCTTATACCACTTGCCACACTGAAAGCAGCCCCTTGATCTATATGGGGGAAATTCTGCTGCCTGTCTTTTGTACAGGCAGGCAAGGCTTGTTACTGGGAGAGGATATGACAAACGTCAATTTCAAATGTGACTTTCACCTTAATTTATATTTCTTAAAGTAATTGAGAATACTCAGTGACTAGAAAGCTTTCTCAAATATCTCTCATAAGCCAGGTGACAAGACTTTAAATTATTGTAAGTTAAAAATTAAAAGACACAAGAATCCACAAGGTCTTCAGCATATTTATAAAGGCACCGATGTTATGGGACCTGAAAGGCCTTTGTATTCCCAAATATTTTTCTCAAACACCTGTCCTACTGCTAACTCTGCAATTGCCCCATTTACTCTTAGATCGAGGCATCATCATTTCATAGTACAAACTCACAGAGACAGAGAAGCAACTTTTAAAACATACCCTAGAACTTTGGGAGCACATTCCCCTTGGAGGGATACTCCCTTAGCCTAGAGGCAGAGGGTAGGGCCTAGTCCCTACATCAAATGACTTGATAGATTTAGATGACATCTCCTGGAAGGCATCACCCTCCCTGTGGAATGGGGTAGGGGGAATGGGATGGGAGAGAGGGAGAAGGAACTGGGATCGATATGTAAAATAAGAAAAAATAATAATTAAAAAATAAAAAAAAACATACACTAGATTACTTATATAATTTCAAATATTCTTTTTAAGTGTCTCCTATATGCTAGACTGATTGGGAGGCAAATTAATAAAAA